TCCCTTCTCCTCTCTGCTAAGACCTTATTGGACAGCCAGTTTGCTTTCTTGCATTTCCTTTTCTTGGGTTGGTTTTTGTTGCTGCTTCTTGTACAATGTTACGAGTTCTTCAGGCACTCTGTCCACCAAATTGAGTTCCTTAAATCTGTTCTTCACTTCCACTTGTCTCCCTAGTGGCAGTATTTGAGAAGTCAAATTGATTGATTCTTCTGAGAACTGTGTGAAGTGCTTCCCATTTTCCCTTAAGTGTTTGTTCTGTGATTACCATATTGTGTTATTCCAACTGATTGAAACTCATTGGACATATTAAGCCTTTATGACCCAGATATAACATGTTTATTAAAAAAAATTCTAAAAATCCAGACACCTTTCAAAATATAAAACCACGTTAGGAAAGAAAAAGAAAAAATATTTTTTGTAAACTTAACGTATATTAAACAGTAACAAAATTTTACCTCTTTGTCTGATTTCCCTTTCCTTCAATTTAGACATGGGATATTGAGCTGGAGAGATCAGCAGAGTCCTGGGCTGAGACATGCCTTTGGGAACATGGGCCTGCAAGTCTTCTTCCATCCATTGGACAGAATTTGGGAGCCCACTGGGGAAGGTGAATAGGCTTAAAATTTAATAAAACCAAATTTAAAAAAAAAATATAAAACAGGTGAAACATTTCAGTGTAATACATGAGCTTCAGTCACATTGGCAGTTTAAATGACATGGAGTTGCAAATCAAATTAAGTGGCTTATCCTTCCTGGTAGAAGCACAACGTTCATTCTGTTCATGTGACTGAAGCCCATGTATTTTATTAAAAAATTTCAATCCTGTTTCATTTGTCCCCCTCCCCCCCAGTTTTATTTATTAAAATTTGTGTGCATTTATTGGTTGTAGTCTGTGGTTTTGTATAGAACATTTGAGGTATGTGCATTGCATCACCAGTGTTTTAACTCACTGGATGTTTCAAATTATTTCAAATGTGATTCTTTTGTTGAAACAGAAGCTGCTGTTCAGATGACTATGGCTTTTCTTTGGCTTTTATTTTTGTAGATACAGACCTCTAACTTTTCATGTCCAATCGTGGTATGATGAAGTGAAAGATTTTAGCTATCCTTATCCACAGGAATGCAACCCTTATTGCCCCTACAGATGCTCTGGTCCTGTGTGCACTCATTATACACAGGTGGGATTTCTATATTATCATCATCATCATCATCATCATCATCATCATCATCATCATCATCATCATCATCATCATCATCATCATCCAATAATAAGCTCATCTATTTGAATCAGGATACTTTTAAAGGCAAGAAATGGGGAGAAAGTTGATAGAAAATACGTAGGTCACACTGTTTGTGAAGGAATATTTAAAAATTTTCACCTGGGCCTCATTCATCCAGACTGTTATTTTTCAATACACCTTAGCAAGGCAAAACACATCAATCTATGCTATCTGTTGCTTCATCTCAATATGGATGGAATATTCATTCTGATATGGTGCACATGGATGCCTTCTTAGACCATATCTGCAAATTTGTAGATATAGGTTGCCCGTTGGATGTGCATCAGGGATTTGTTAGAGTTGTAAGTTAATGTATTATTTGCCATGTGATAAGCTTTGCAAAAGCAGATAGGCTGGATCTGAAGACTAGTTTCACAGTGGTCTTTTCCATGTGTTTCCGTGCCCAGCCCCATAGAGGAGGACTATAAATGGATTTGGAGTGGACTATAATAACCCAGAAGCCTTAATTGGCACATGCAATACTCTGATGGTCATTGAGTATAATTTCCAGAAGCCTGAAGAAATGCCATAGGTGCGTTAATTAAGGCTACTAGGTGTTATAATCTGAATCTATTTAAAGGGCCACGATTGGGCCATGTAGAGTAAATTTAGTTTTGAAAGAGAGGTATTGACCCCTCTCTCTTTGGGGAGGAATACGGAGTGGCATGTGCTCTATGGATAAGCATGTCAAAACTGATACTTTTAATAAGTAAAACTGACTTGGATTTTCTGAACCAATTAGCTCAGGAAAATAAAGTATTTACCATTAATGTGTTAATACTGGTATATTATTTCAAAGGTGTGATGCCCATACCCTTGTCTGAGTTTGGATCCAGCATGATCAATGAATTATATCTTTTTTTAAGTTAATGACTCAGAAAGATGATGTAAATCAGAATCCTCTTGTGGTAACCATGGATACACTATAAAAATATTTAAACAATTTCTCCTTCATTCACTCAGTATCCTCCGTTTCATCACATAACGATTACTGAGATATTGAATTTCAACTTTGCTCTTTACAGTGAGTGCAGTATGCATGGAAAGATTTTACATAAAGAAAAATGAGTCATGACTGCTTTTTAACTTTTTGAGAATACATATGCAATATACATAATTATTTAAGTTTGAATCGGGTATTTAATAACTTCCCTCCTTTTTGTCTTCTAGGTGGTGTGGGCAACAAGTAGCAGAATAGGTTGTGCTGTTAACTTGTGTCACAATATGAATGTCTGGGGACAGATATGGCCAAAAGCAATTTACTTGGTGTGCAATTACTCTCCCAAGTAAGTATATATACAGCATAAATGAGGGAACTGTGTGGACCACAGAAAGATGTCTGAAGGCTTCAGTTTGGATTTGAGGAATAGTTCGAGGCAGATTGTTTAAGCTATTTGTTGCCTGTGATCTCTCCTCTGTCCCAAGCTACTTCACCTCATAAGCCTTGGTGCTAGTGGTAGAACTTTTGATATTCTAGACTCTGACTCTCATAATTTGCTCAGAATCTCCCAGGCAGAATCCTAGGACACTGATCTAAAAAACAAATACCTGCAGAGTAGCTTTCCACAACTCTGTGTTCCTAACTGTGTGCTGCTTCTCTGAAAACGAAATAACCACCCTGGTTCTCCCTGGGAACTGCAAGCCTTCGTGGGAGGGGTAGTCGTGTGGGCAGCCCAATTTATAGAGCCTAATTTATAGAGACTACCTTTCCCACAAAACTTTGCCACTCCCAGAGAGACCCCCAGGAGCAGGAAGGCAGTCTACTAATCCCAGGTAGCAGCTCCACGTTGACTCAGACTTCTATCCTTCCGAGGTCGCTAAAATGAGTACTCAGCTCGCTGGAGGGGGGGCAATGTGTAGCCTGCATAATTAACTTGTAAACCGCCCAGAGAGTGCTTGAAGTGCGATGGGGCAGTATATAAGCAGCACGCTTTTTCAAAGAAGAGGTATGTCGGTTGGAGGACTTATGAAGGTATGGAAAGCTGCTCCTTAGGCATCTGTTTTGAGGTTCTTTCTCCCTGAATTCTGCCTGGGGGACTGTAGGCAAGTTCTGGGAGTGGAAATCCAAACTGTCTGACAGTCCCATCCTTCCTGAAGTGCCTGTTTAGGAAGGCTAAGTATCCCTATCCTCATTTTCTCCAGCTGCCCCCCCAAGTGCTTTTCCATTTGCTTTCTAAGATGAGTTTTCCATGCCTCCATTTGTATTCCTGCCTGCATGCTGTTTCTTTGAAAACCAAGGAATCCACCCTGGTGCTCCCTAGGAGTTGTAGGGTTCTTGTGAGGAGTAGTGTGGTGGGAAGCCCACACTATAGAGCCTAATGGGCATCAAGAGTACCCCCTCCCATGAAATCTTGCAACTGTGAGTCGGTATAGCTCAGTGAACGACATCTGTGTGCCCAAGTTTGGGAACCAGTGATACAGTGACTATAAAGCAACATACAATCTATTAAAGAGCATTGCTAGAAATAAAAACACTGACCAAAATACTGCAGGATGGAGTTTGCTTGTACAGTGGGCATGACATCATTGGCAGTGGCAGATTGCTGCTGATTAAAGGGTACCCTTAGTGATTTCGGCATGCACATTACTTTATCACATCATGTATGAGCTATGCACTCTCCCAACACCGCAAAAGTAAGCCTTTAATCAGTGTCAGTCTGCTGATATTATTAGTGTTGTGCAGGCAGAACTGCACAACAGGATTTCAGGCTGTGTTTCTAGTGGAGCATTGGCACAGTGTAATGCTAATACAGTTTGAATGTTGAGAGCTCCAGGCTAAATCTGTTTTAGTCCACAGTCACAGCATTCCAAGCATTCCCTACAATCTGCCAACACTATTTACAAAGATAATCTGTTCATTCTCTAATGGATATTTAGAAGAAAGGCGGTTGGCAGTAGTTCAACTTAATTATGTTGATCTTACATAGTGTTAAATATTGTTGCACTCAGCTGCATAATTGCTCAGCTTTGGAACTGCTTGGACAGAGCAAGCCTGTACTCTAGTTACACTGGGATGGTGGGAGGATATGCCTGTTTTACACCAGTAGTGTGGCCAGCATGCCTTATATCTGCTCAGCCTAAGAGGACAAGACCAAGTCACACAGCCAGAAAATCCCTAAATGGTGTGAAACTAGGCCTGCAATGTCCATGGAAACACTGCCAAAGCCAGGTTGTATCTGTGGGTCATTGACCTACATAGAGCAAGGGGAGCCATAGAAAGAGTAATAAGCAGTGTGCAGCAGCTGGAACATGAGTACAGAAATGCTGTCTTAGTTTTTCAAAACTTGCTAAGCTAGGGAGTACATTGGAAATGGTGTGAACACTTTTTCTTACAGCTAAGAAGAGGTTAAATAGTTATTGAATGGTGGTTCACATGAGTGTTTTAATGAAATGAATTATGCTTTGCTTCCAACATGGTAAAGAATGCTGTGCAGATACATAAATCTCCAGGCACATGCCAAAAAGCCTTTCGTGCCAACATTATATGACACTTCTGTTGTTCCTTGTTTGCATTGATGTTTTCTGACTGTGAGGTCACCTACAGATGAATTGAAACCTGCACAAATAGATCAGATCTGCTGAAATTTACTTGGTCTAAATAAATTCACTAGAGGCTCTGGTTATTCAGAATGTGATGCAGGTTGTAGATTAATTTTGAAATGTAAGTAGTGTTGTGATTTTTTTTTTAAGTTCTCCAAAATTATTTCACTAGAATGCCCCTAAAATTCTATAATACCCAACTCTGCCTTGACTTGTGTTACGAGTGTGTGCTTTATATTTTCATCTTTTCTCATTTCATTTATTTATTTATATGCCATTTATGTTTTAATCATAGCTATTTAATATGTTTAATACATTTGTGAAGATTCTCAGTCATCCAGGTGAGGTTATTTGGAAGTTGAGTCATGGCAACTGGATTTCTTTCTTATTAGGTTGAAACATTTCACTGCTCATCCAACCAACTTTCCTCAGACTGAAGATGCTACTTGGATGAGTAGCAAAACGTTTCAACCTAATAAAAAAGAAGTCCAGTTGCCATGACTCAGCTTCCAGATATCTAATATGTTTTGTTTCTGTCTAGTAGAGACCTTCCACTTTGCTAAGGAAAATGCCCCCTGAAGGCATAATTGTGCCCATTTCCATTCCATATGGAAAGGTTTTTATGTGAAACACTTGCATAGTTGATCTACATTTTATGACAGACGTTACAATACACAGTTGATGATGCTTGGCTTTGGATACCAGTGTGACAGGTGCTTATCACCCTACCCCAATAGTCTAGGTCAGGGGTGTCCAACCTTTCACCTTACCTGGGCCACATTAGAAGATGAAAATTTGGTTGGGACGCCCATAAATTTGGTTTGGGCCGCATGGGGGGGCAGCCCTAGCCGTCCTCTGCAGCCCCGCTCCAAGCGCGCTTGCTGGCAGCTGCGATCTCAGACAGCAGAGGCTGCCAGCTTTGACTCCGGTGGCTTTATGGGGCCGGGAGGGGGTCCACCTATTGACGGGGATGGCACAATGCAGTCATGCAGGCCCCCTCTCCCCTCCCTTCCCGCTTCTTCCTCCCTCTCTCCCCCCCACCGTTGTGACGTGCCCCAGCCGCATTCCGGCCGCAAGTGCTGGTAGTGTAACTTGAAACTTTGAAATTTCTTTAAAAATAAAAAATTGCACTGGGCCGCATTACGAGTCGACCTGGGCCACATGCGGCCCTCGGGCCGCAGGTTGGACAAGCCTGGTCTAGGTAAAATAAATAGTTCCAGTGGGGGAGGTGGAATTGTACACACTTGTGTCTTTTTAGATTGGGGTATCCTGGTTTAACTGGGAGCTGACTGTTTGAATCCAGACTGTGCCTCCTGGGAGAAGGGCCAGCTGAAATCACCCAGATCTTGTGTGGATGATGAAGTTATATGCTCTGTCCACAGTCCCAGAGTGCCACCAGGAAGAGTAACTGATAAATCCCTTTATACTTAGAAAACTCTATGAGGTTTGTCATAAGTCACAAATGACTTGATGGTATATGCTGCTGGTGGTGGCGATTTTCACTGTGCTAAGCAGAATAAGTGTCATGATTTACATCACTAAATACCACCTTTTCCACCTAGGGGTAATTGGTGGGGCCACGCTCCATACAAACATGGTCGCCCATGTTCTGCATGCCCACCTAGCTTTGGAGGAGGCTGTAGAGAGAATCTTTGCTATAAAGGTATGTTTTTGTGATTGTTAGTACTCTTAAGTGACTTAATAGTGCTGTTATATAGTAGGTTCATAAGGGAGTAATAAAGGTATTTTAAAACGCACAGGAGTGGCTAAAATCCTGTTCTGCATCCCTACCAGTATAAATTGTGATGATATCAGCAACCTACAGCATTACTCTTTAATTCAATTTAATTCCATTTAAATCTTACTATCTCCTCCATGTCAGGTTCCAGAGGTCTCCTTTGCTCTGGAGAAGCCTTTGGGTAAAGTGCATAAAATCTCTGTCTATTGAGCTAAATGCTTCCCTTACAGTTTTGATAGAAGGGCTCTGTGTGTACAGCTTTAAATGCAGAGAATTTTGTTTCTGAAGTCAGGAATCTTGCTTTTGCAGGATTACTGAATGCATGGTGACAGTCCTCTGTGTGGCTTTCTGTAGACATAATAGCAAACCACGTATGTTGGAGGAGGAGCATGCCACACTGATGCTAGTCTAATACGTACATGTTTGTTATACTCAGACTGGATATGTAAAAAAAAACCCTTAAAATCTTATTGTTTTAGTAGCTTTTTGTTTGGTTCCTCCTTATACATTGGTTTTTCTGCACATTTGTCTGTCATGATTATACATACATATGTAATTAGTAATTCCAAAAGATATCCTGTATGGAGAATTAGTGCAGGGAAATCACCCCAGAGGGAGACCACAGCTGTGATACAAGGATATATGCAAGCGTGATATGAAGGCCTTAGGAATGGACCTCAACAGATGGGAAACTTTGATATCTGAGCATTCAGCCTGGAGGCAGGTAGTGCATCATAGCCTCTCCCAGTTTGAAGAGACACTTGTCCAGCAAGCTGAGGCAAAGAGGCAGTCCCGAAAGCAGCAAAATCAGGGAGCAGGACAGGGGACAGATTGAATTTCTCTTCAGTGTGGAAGGGATTGTCACTCTTGAATTGGCCTTCTCAGCCACACTAGACGCTGTTTCAAGACCTCTATTCAGAGCACGTTACCACAGTCTCTCGAGACTGAAGGATGCCTACATTAGTAATATGCCCAGTGTGATGTATTGGATAGATTAATGGACTAGGTCTCAGGAGACCTGATCTCACTTCCTAACTTTGCTATGGAAACTGATGAGGTATGGGTGGAACTGGTAAAACCACTCATTAAATATCTAACTTAACTTGAAAACCTGTTAATGTAGTTAAAAATCAATTCCAGCTTGACAGTGCATAACATGACATAGTAGTGAAGTTTCCACAGTATATTCCTTTGCATGTCTATTCAACGGTAATTCCCATCATGCTCAGACAGATTGTCATATGAGTGATTATAGGGTTACAGACTTAAAATCCCATTGATTTCCATGGGAAAGGTCCCTATAAAACTCAGTTTGAATTAGATGTGCCCACAGGATATAATTTTACCAGTAACCACCTGTGAGAAGGCTTCATTTCAGCTTAATTCCAGTGCAACTTAATTCCATGCAAAGATTCAAAGACTCCTCTATAACTTGATGTAGGAAAGACACATCTGATGTTTTTCTTATTTTTCAGTTTGTAATAATTGGAAAAAAATTGATTACTATTTCATTCATTTATTTGGTATGACAGAAGGGTCAGAGAGGCGCTACTCTCCAGAAATGGAAACCAATGAGATTGAACGACAACAGTCACATGTTCAGCATTCAACACAGAATCGATTAAGGTCACATGCGTCTACTTCTGATGACAGGGAAAAAAATGAGGTCATAAGCAAACAACAAATGTGTAAGGAAATTTCATTTTTAACATGTTTTACATTTTAATTGACTCCTCAAATATACTGAAACGCTGTAATAATGCTGGTTGCCTTTCCCCCCAGCTCAAATTGTTTCTTGTGAGGTACGGTTAAGGGACCAGTGTAAAGGAACAACTTGTAATAGGTAAGATGCACTTACTTAATGGTTTATACAGAATCTGTCATACAGTGTTTATTTTTGTATTCTCGAAGGCTTTCATGGCTGGTATCTGATGGTTGTTGTAAGTTTTTTGGGCTGTTTGGCCATGTTCCAGTACCTACACAAGAACTCTAGACTGGTACCTACACGGTGTAAGTGTAGGTACAGACCGGTACCTACACAAAAACTCCAACCACCACCCATGGCAAAAAAAAGGCATAATCGTACAGTGTTTATTTTTGTATTCTCGAAGGGTTTCATGGCTGGTATCTGATGGTTGTTGTAAGTTTTTTGGGCTGTTTGGCCATGTTCCAGTACCTACACAAGAACTCTAGACTGGTACCTACACGGTGTAAGTGTAGGTACAGACCGGTACCTACACAAAAACTCCAACCACCACCCATGGCAAAAAAAAGGCATAATCAAAACACTTGTAGACCGTGCACATCGGACCTGTGAAGTTCAATTTCTCAGCACCAAACTCAACCATCTGAATTGGGCCCTACAGGCAAATGGCTATTCCAAGAATGAAATCACAAGAGCCATCAAACCAAGAAAACAACACTGAACTGAAGAAGAAAAACAGCCACCCACAAATAAAGCATTTCTGCCATACATCAAAGGGGTCATGAATCGCATGGGGAAACTTTTTTAAAAACACAACCTACAAACAATATTCAGGTCCACCACAAAATGCAACAAATACTATGGTTAGCAAAGGACAAAAGGGACCCCCTCACCACTGCAGGAGTATACCGGATACCTTGCAGTTGTGGCCAGGTATGTATTGGGACCACAAAACACAACATTCACACCAGAATCAAAGAACATGAAAGACACTGCAGACTAAAACAGCCAGAAAAATCAGCAGTAGCTGAACATGCCCTGAAACAAGCTGGACTTGAAATTCCACTTCAAAAGACAGAAGTACTGGACAACACTAAGCACCAAACTCAACCATCTGAATTGGGCCATACAGGCAAATGGCTATTCCAAGAATGAAATCACAAGAGCCATCAAACCAAGAAAACAACACTGAACTGAAGAAGAAAAACTCCCACTTCAAAACACAGAAGTACTGGACAACATAGCAATCATTATGTTAGACTACACAGAGAAGCCATTGTAATCCACAAACACCTGCAGAGCTTCAACGAAAGGAAAAAGTCTAAAACTCAACAAAGCCTAGCTCCCGGCACTGAAAAATACAGCTTCCAAAAAGGTCAACGAACTCTACCCAGCCACAAGGACTGGGAATCACTGCACACAAAAGGCTAGCTAATGACACCCACCTATCACGGTGACAGATCATCTCCCCCCCTTATCACAATAATACACCCATAACAAAAAATACCCTGATCACCATAATCACCCAATCTCCTAAAAAGGACAAAAAGTTGATCCCACAGCTAAAAATCCTCAACTATCCCACACACTACACCAGAGCAGAGACAGAGTTCTGTCCTCTGAAGATGCCGGCCACAAAGACTGGCAAAACGTTAGGAAGAAAAACCTCCAGAACATGGCCAATCAACCCGAAAAACCTACAACCATCAGCATTTGTTTTTATCTGAGAAAATTCTTTTTTTTTCCCTTTTGTCTTAGACCCATTTCTGTTCTATTTGTCTAGGTATGAATGTCCTGCTGGCTGTCTGGATAGCAGTGCCAAAGTTGTTGGGAGTGTTCATTATGATATGGTAAAAATATTGTAATATTTAATGTAATGTTATCTGATTACATTTACAAGCGAGAAAGGTATCCTATTATTCGTTAACATTCTGTAGAAATAAAATAGCCTTAAAGTTAATTTGACAGAAATTTACAAAGAGAGACTTGTTTTGCTTGTAAAATAACTTCTCCTTTATATATACTGCTACACCATAATCAAAAGCTTTTGTGGACAACTATGTAAGGAAACTGGTTTAACCTTTTCTAACATAGCCTCTGATTGATAGGAGTCAAATTTATTTTGGGGTCAAAGGGTATTAAAATACAGATATTTCTAATAATGTATTGTCCCCATTCACCAATACAGTGGTGCCTCACAAGACAAATGCCTTGCAGGACAAAAAAACTCATAAGACAAATGGTTTTGGCAATGGGGGTTGATGACTCACAAGACAAATGTTCCTATGGCTGTGCTTCGCAAGACAAATGTTTTCCATTTTTTGTTCCTACCTCATGTTTGCTAATTTTTAAATGTTTTTCTATGATGTTTAAAAAGTTAAAGTTTTTTAAGACAATTCATTAAGTCAGACTGTTAAATCATAACTAACTTAATTTGCTAATTTATGTCTATCAGTGTAAAAGTAAGGGTGACCAACATACAGCTAAGTTTAGCTATTTTCTTCACTTTCTTATAGAAATATAATAAGGAAATAATTATTTAAAGATCCTAACTTCATTTTTTATTTGTTTTTCTTAGCAATCAAGTATTTGCAGAGCTGCAATACATTATGGCATTATAGACAATGACGGTGGCTGGGTTGATGTTACCAGGCAAGGAAGAAAACATTATTTCATCAAGTCCTCTAGAAATGGAGTTCAGTCAGTTGGGTGAGTGAAAAATATAGTCTGGAGCCCTGTTAGCATACATAGTTGTTGAAGAGCAGTTGCACAAGCATGCCCCTCTTCTGTCAGCTCTCTTTCACATGGTGGGTCATTTTTCACAAAATCAACTATGGAAACAGCTGTGCAGCAGACTGTGTGAAGTGAAAAAAATGCTATGTGATTCCCTTGTGTGATTCCTCATGCAGATTCTGGCCATAGTTCTCCAGTAAATACTGTTGTTAATGTGCTGTGAAATCACTTCTGACTTACAGCACATGTATAAGTTAATGACTTCCAAAAAGGTCCTAGCATTTATAGCCCTCCAACAAATACAGTAGTTGGATGTCAGATGTTGAATATAATGGACTATTCTGGATAATACCAATTAAATAATTGAAACACCATAAAATATGAAATTTGTTTTATTGGTCCTGTAATGTTTGTCACTATTTCCTGTTGTGTAGAATGGCAACATAAAAGCTACAGAAGTGACATCTCAGTTAAAAAATTACACCAGCCCTTGTCTAACATCCTTAAAATCCACGCCTCCTCTTGCTTTCACTGTCTGCATACCTTCATTCAGTGATCTCACCAAGGTCACATTGCTACTTTCCTTGAAACTCCCTTCCATTATATCAGATATGTCTAATCCAAAAGTGAACAGTCTTTCTTCTGTTGAAAGCCTTATTGCTCAGGGTTCCTCTCGCAGGGGCCAAAGATATGTGGTGAGCTGGACAGATGCTAGTGGCCAGACCTAAAATGAAATATCGCTGTCCCTTTTCTCTGTGTCCCTTTTCATTTTATGATTTCCCCCTTTTTACTCTCTGATCACCCTGCATCTCTCCCTGACTTCCTCTCTGTCAAGTTAGCATCCAGAGAGAGGACAGATCACTCTTGCCAGGAACTAATAACTAGTAGAGGGCTTCTGAAATTAGGCCTAGGGTCCCATGTAATTTGATTGTCCACTGATGAACTAATCCACAAAATTTTTAAGTGATGACTAGCTACCGAGAGCCTCTCATACGCTTTACCAGAGCAACAAACATTTTCTGAGCTCCAGGAGAAGTGACAAGTGTGATAATAAATAGAGATGGGCACAAATCACCGGTTCATGCTGGTTCATTTATCAGCCAAACAGGTGTTTGGCACTTCAAAGCCTCCAGCAGGCACCCAGAGGCAGCGCCTGGAGAATGGGGCAAAGAGAAACCTGTCTCTAGCTGGGCACCAAACTCCTGTTTGGTTGATAAACAAACTGGCACGTGTCCAACTCTAATAACGAAGAGTAGGAAGTCATGAAAAGGAATGGCGAGAACATAAAATCCAGCATATAGAAACATGAGTGATATTATATATAATATCTGTGTGTAATTGATACTCCATTTGAAAATGATGGTTTGCCATTCAGATCTTTTGGATCCAAAAAGCCATATTTTTTCAGTTTGGGAGTTGCATCTCAGTGATCCACACCTACAGATACCAAAACATGCTTAACTGGAAGAGAAGTCTAGTAGCAAAGCTTCATGACTTAGGATAGGCCTGACTTTGCCCTAGCTTTCTGTTAGAACAGGAATCTGCCTCAAGGCTTGCTGGGATGTTGTTTTATGAGATTATTTTATATGAATGGGCCACTGTGATAATTACTTGGTCTCTTCAGGAGTGCAAGGTCCCCCTTGCCCTCAAGGAGACACTCATTAGGCCCATTAGGAAGAAACCAAATTTGGCGGCAGACGACATTGGAAATTATAGACCCGTCGCCAATGTTTCTTTCCTCAGTAAAGTGGTTGAGAGGGTGGTGGCAGATCAGCTCCAGGCACTCTTGGGCGAAACCAACGCTCTGGACCCATTTCAGTCGGGCTTCAGGCAGTGCTGTGGTACAGAGACGGCACTGATCACACTGTTGGATGACCTGCTGAGGGAGGCTGATGGGGACAATATGTCCTTGTTGGTCCTCCTCAATATCTCAGCCGCCTTTGATACTGTCGACCACGGTATCCTCCTGGGGAGGCTCTCCGAGTTGGGAATCAGTGGCATGGCACTTGCCTGGCTCCATTCCTTCCTGGAGGACCGTCCCCAGAGAGTACAGCTTGGGGAAAATGTCTCAGCCCCGTGGAATCTCAATTGTGGGGTTCTGCAGGGGTCAACCATCTCCCCAATGCTGTTTAACATCTACATGAGGCCGCTGGGTGGGGTCATCAGGGGGTGTGGGGCATCGTGTCATCAGCTCTACATCTCCTTTTCACCTACCTCAGTGGATGCTGTCCTGCCCCTTCAGCGCTGCCTGGAGACTGTACTGGAATGGATGCAGTTGAATGGATTGAGGCTGAACCCGGACAAGACGGAGGTCTTGAGGGTGGGCGGCCCTTCCATTAGCAGCATAGGCAAATCCCTTTCTTTTGAGGGGACAACCCTTGCCGCAAAGAGTGAGGTTCGCAGCTTGGGGATACATCTGGACCCTGCACTTACCATGGAAACCCAGGTGGTGTCCATGGACCGCTCCGCCTATTTTCATCTATGGCGGATTGCCCAGCTGCGACTATATCTTGATTGGGGGGCCCTCACTACTCTAGTCCATGCGCTCGTAATCTCGAGATTAGATCACTGTAACGCACTCTATGTGGGGCTGCCTTTGAGGCTTGACGCGGAAACTTCAGATGGTCCAGAATGAGGCAGCCAGGCTCCTTAGTGGGGTGAGAAAACACCAACACATCTCCCCCACTCTGGCTGCTTTGCACTGGTTGCCCATCCGTTTCCGCGTTGACTTCAAAG